TAATATAAATATACTATATTATATATATATTTTTTTTTCTAAAATGAAAATTTTTTTTTTAAATCTTAATTGTTTGGACTATTTGGTTCCTCCCATGGTCGTGGTATACGAACATTTTTCCAATTATCAATATCCAAAGTCTATAATAATATTAAATTAAACATTATTATACTTTATAATTAATTTAATGTATTGATATAATTGCAATATTTTGTTCAATAACAATAATAATATTATTTTTATAAATAAAAGAATAAGATGTATTATCATGCATTTTCATTCAATAATACATAATACACGTTAATAAATCTTGTTTATCTTGTTATCTTAATTTTCTCTCATTGTTATTATTATTATGCATTTTAATATTTTTATTATTAATTTTTTGTTAATAATATTTAAAATAATTTTTACTCTTTAAAAAAATAAACTATATTCTTGAATACTCAATATTTATTTTAATATAATTTAGTATACATATTATTTGATATATATATTTTAATTTAATAAATGTTTTTTAATTAAAATCTCACTTACTTTTATTTTCTCATATTCCTCTTCAAGAGTACAAGATTTTTTCATTTCAATACCTTTTTTTTTTATTTCCATTTTGAAATCCTGTGATATAACTTTTGGATATTTATATCTAGAAAAATTGGAATAAATTTTTAAAATATTATATTATTAAATATTAAAATACATACTTTAATTTTGTAAATTCTTGAATGAAGAATGAACCACCTATAACAAGTATCATAAATGGTAAAAACTGCCGAAATAATTTGGTTTCATGAAATCGTTTCATTATAGGTTATGTATATGCTGTCACAAAATTTGAATAATGAAATGATAAATTACAATTTCTAATATATTAAAATTGTATATTATAATTTTAATTTTAATTGATATATCAAATATTTCTTATTAATATTATTGTTACATCATAAATAATATTCATATAAATTTATGATCTAAAATAATATAAATGTTTGCTTATATGTACATAATTTTATGCGTATTTTTTTTATATTCATTATTTATAATGATTTACTAAATTAATAAATATATATTATGATTAACATATTTTGAAGTAATGATATTATTATATTTAAGGAGTATGTAATATAAATATTAATGTTAATTAAATTATATATTTATTTCATGCTCATTTTTATTTATTTTTATATATATATTTTGATTTTTGTATATTAATCTAATAATTTATTTATACAATTTAATTGCAAAAAAAATTAAAAATAATATAATAATATTTTGACAATTTATGACAATTATATTTTTTGCTTAGTTTTTCGATGATTCAAATTGATTTTATTTGACCAATAAAAAATCAGCGAAATATATCGATTTATATGGATCTTTTAAGTGAGAAATGTGAAAATAATAATGATTATAATTTTATTATCTTCACTTTATATAGTTAAATAAATTTACTAATATTATTCATTCGGTAATTAAAAGTTAAAATAATTCAAATGATTATTGACTCTAAAAAAACAAAATGATTTTAGTTTTAAATTTCACTACAGGTTAAGCTGACGTATAAGGTTTTAATTTTAATTTGAAAAATATTTCTGTCAGAAATATAAGAAATTTCAAAATGAACATTTTACCAGGAACGGCATCTCTGCTTGAAGAACTTGACAGTACGTATTTATGTTATCTAAATAACATTATAAATATTTCATTTGTTAGGTTATACCGGTATGTTATTATATTTTTACATTTAATCTTATTAAGTGCAATTTTTATAAAATATATAGTATAAAATTTATATAACTGTACTCTATATAAAAAAATTTAATATAATATAAATAGACATTAACTTTTATTATTATAAAACTATATTATTTAAACTGTTCTCAAAATTATATTTATATTTTTAAAATTTTTCATAAATTTCTAAATTTTCAGTAAAACTTAACATTTTGTTTATTTTAATATTTATTTTGATAAAAATTATTTTCATTGAAATATTGTATATAATTCTTGTTTAGAAAAACTTATGGTTTTACTAAGAGATGGCAGAACATTAATTGGATATCTCAGAAGTGTTGATCAATTTGCTAATATTGTGCTCCATCGTACAATTGAAAGAATTCATGTTGGCAAAGAATATGGAGATATCCCAAGAGGCATTTTTATTGTCAGAGGAGAAAATGTTGTTCTTTTGGGGGAAATAGTAATATCTTATATATAAAATTATATTATTTAAAAAAAAATTTTTTTTAGTAAAACATTATGATTATTATTATAGGACAGAGACAAAGAAAGGGATTTACCATTAACTGAAGTATCTGTTGATGATATCTTAGATGCACAAAGACGAGAACAAGAATTAAAACAAGATCAAAAGAGATTAATAAATAAAACTTTGAAGGAACGAGGTTTATCATATATTCCAGATATGGGTCATGATGATATGTTCTGACCCATATCGACATCATTAACTACTAATACTTTGTCATCCACGTCTTCACATAATTCTGAAATGTGTGATTCATGTTATACATCACTATCTTTCTGATAATATTTAGTGATGATAATTTGTAAAATGTAACTATATTACATAATTGTGAAGATAAAAATAGTTATTAATTATGCCCAATAATTTCTTTATAAAACTATATTAGTACAATTGAAGTTTGACTTAAGCTATCAATAATATAAAAATTTATATAATTTACTTTTATTATATTAATCCTGTATTTATAATGTAGAAAATGTATGGACTATAATTGTATCATACTTTTAAAGATCTTTAAATTTCTGCTATATATAAATATTATATTTAAATGAAAATATTATAATTGATATATAGTCTTTATTGACTATATTAAATACATAAGTAAATATATTGATTATATTCACAGATTATATATTTCACTAATAATCATATATTTTTCTATGATCAGTTTTAAATGCTTTGTTTTATATAAAGAATTCTTGTTTGAATAATTTCTTTGTACTTCGAATTAAAAATAAAGATGAACAATTTGATTAAAAATTTGATTGAACATAAAAGATATCATGTGTAAATGTTACTTATGTATTAAATATTTAATAAATGTATAAAATATATTTTGTTAAAAATATATAAGATCATTTCATGATTTAAAATATTTTATTTAGAAAATCTAATATATTATATAAGATTTAATTCAAATAGTACATATTCATGATAAATAATTTAATATTATCATTCTTTGACAATTATAGTTTTTTGTCTCCTTGTTTATATAATATTAATTATAATATTGTTTGAATGATACTGAACTTATTTAGGTTTTTTACAATATTATATTGTATTTTGCTTTTACATATAAAATATAAAGATATGTTATATATTTAAATATATTAATGAAATGTACGATTTTTAAGTTATTGTATCTTCCTTTTCATTAAGTCTATTATAGACTTAATAAAATTAAATTATTATAATATTATTAAATTAATATTATTAAATTAAATTAATATTATTATAATATTATTATTAATATATAATATTTTTCATAAAAATCATAAAAAATGAATATGTATATATATTCATATTAAAAAAAAATGTTCTTTGTATTATTTACAAAATCACATAAATATATTACAATATATTTTAACTTTTTTTTTTTTGATTCCATATTGTTAAATAATGCACTTAAACTTATAAAATGAAATGAATGTATTTATAATCATTGCATTTAATATGAACTCATTAATTAATTTTTTTAATATGAATTTATTAACTAATTTTAAATATAATTACAATATTTTTGTTTATGCAAAAAAAGTTTATTCATATAATGAATAATTATAAATTAACAAAATATATGTAATATAATAATGTATAAATTTTTTAGAGCATTAAATATTACATCTTAGTACAAATTATTTACTATATAAATATTACGAATTCAAGTATATTACATATTTATCAATCTATTTTTATTATAAAAGCACAAAAGTAATGGAAATCCCCAAAAATCAATGACAATATATTTTAAAATTTTGTTTTAAAAACACAATTGAATAAACCTATCAATATTATAGATTTTTATGTTCATTTGTCTGTCTAAAATAAAAATTATTAAAATAAGTGTATATAAAAATATACAAGTGAACATATAAACTTAAACATATAAAACTTTTATATGTTTAAATATTATTTTAATTTTTGGGATATATTGTGATTATTTCACAATCAAAATGAAGTTTCTTGAAATGTGTCTTTTATTTTTACCAAATTTAATGTTGATTCACTTAATTGCTTATGCCTGAAACCTTGTTCTTTTTGATGTATATTTTTTGATGTTTTAAATTCCATTATTGATCTTTTAGAATCATTACGTTGTAAACTAGTTGCTCGTTTTCTTGGTGAGCTTGCCATTTCATCATTTTTTTCCAACGAATTGTTCGCACTATTCGTACTTCCAGATACGATACCAGAAGTATCAGATTCTGGTTGATTTCCATTTAAGCAACATAATAAGCTTTCAGAAAGACCATCTTCATTTAAAATGTTTAAATCAGATTCTGATTGTTCGAAGTCTCCTGTACGCGATGAAAAACTGAGATCAACAGGACTAGCAGTTAATACACTTCTAGACAACAAATATTCTCTAAATGTGCTTGTTATAGACATAGTACTTTGTTGTTTGATTGCATAACAATCATCAGTAATCGATGTAACAAATTTTTGTTTTTCTGTTGTACTTTTGTTTAAGTTTTCTTTATTTTCCAAGTCAATAATTTCATTATATATAATTTCACTGTTTGTATTATTGAGTTTTTGAGATTCTTCTAGAATTGAAGTATAATTCATTGAACTAATAATATCAATATTTGATCTGTGTATGTTATTGGACACATTATATTGATTCCAACTGTTATTAACAGAAGCAAGATTACATAAATTTGATCCAGAAATCATCATTACTGGTTTTCTTGAACGTGGTGTCATCATTGTTTCCTGTAATCAATATAAAAAATTACTAATTCAAATTTATAATTATACATTACAAACTATAAATAAATATCTAATTATTAAATAATAATAAAAATAAATAAAATATATTACAAAATATATTTTATACAATAATAGATGCAATAATAGAAGAAATAATATTATGCATAAAATGCATACCTGCATAGCTTTTGTCATTTTAGTAGCACTTTGTGTAATTGGACTCATGCTCTTATCATTATTAGTAATAGGAGTTAATATATAATCGTTAGTAACTAAGCTTTTACGTAATAAATTTGATGGTGTTGATGTATGCGCAACATACACATTCCAAAGTCTGTTCTTTACAACAGGAGATAAATGGACACATGCACTATCAATTTGAGATTCCAATTTTGAATGTTCCATTACTTTCTTATTGTCTTCAATATAATTTGTAATGGATGTTATGTTTCCATGAATGGTTTTTTGTGCTGTAATTATAGGTTCTGAATTCTGTCTAAATAATTCACTTTTACTAGTTTCATACAAAGTACTTTGGGAAGAATACATATCTGGTGGTTCACTAAGTTGTCTAGATATTCTAATAGTATTAATTGCAGTATTATTATCTTCAAATTCCTTGCTATTAAAATCTTGTAAAGATATATTTGTATTACTTGGTTTTGAATTTATAGATTCATATGATCCTTTATTTGATTTATGTACAGGCCAATTATGATATTGATCATTCATTTGTTCCTTTATATTTATAAATTTCATTAGTACAGCCTTTCTTTTGTCTTTATAACTTTTTAATGTAGAAGTATTAAGACTACCAGTGCTATTACTAATATGTTTAGTGTGAAGAAAATTATCATTATTTGTATCATAATTTTCCATACTAAGTTCATCATCTGATTTACTAAATAAAACTTTTGTTTGAAGTAATGACTTTTCTAAATTCTGTATAATAACAAACATGCATATAAAATACATTAATTATAGATTGTTATAAATATTTATTATGCATTATAAAATTAATATGCTGTTATGAAATAAACAAATATTGATTATAAAAAATATTATGTTGTATATATCTTACCGATGATAATATATTTTCTTCACTATTAGATCTAGTAATATTGCAACCTATATTAATATCAAACTTTTTATGCCCCAAAATCTTTTTCTGAAATATATGTTTTTTAATTGAATCTCCAAGACTCTTAGTTCGAAAGTACTTAACTTGTCTTGGTGTTCCTTGACCATTTTCCTTATTAAATTGTTTTACAAGTCTGCGTTTTTTAGCTGATTCTGGCATAGCTTGTATATGAGCATAAAGTTGTGCTAATGCTGCTTGAGTATCTTGTGTAGAATTTGCTTTTGCTGTTAATTTATGATCCACAAAACTGAAAACTGTATGTGCTGTACCTGTTGTATCTTGTATAGATTCATTTAACTGTAATAATAAATAATTATTTAATTAAACTATATATATATAACAATTGTTTTAATTAAATTTAAGATATTATTAAAGATTTAGATAAAAAAACTTACATCTGTATTTTTAGGACTAAGTAATTTTCTTTCTTGTTCTACCCAATATGCTCTAATATCTGTAGCTAATTTTGGTGGAATTTCAAATAATTCATTTTCTTTTCTAATCATAAAAGCAACTAAACATGATAAATTTTGAGAATTAATATGTAAAGCTTCTGGTGATAATTTTCTTGGACACATTAAATGTGGAGTAAAAAGAGTAGCAAGAGTATCACAATTCATTTTATTATTAGATTCAAAACTAGCTGTTTTATTAAGAAGATTCAAAATATATTTAAGTAAAACTCTATTTATAGATGGTAGAAGCAATAAAAGTAATTGCAAAGATCTTAATAATCTAGCATCATTCCCACTTACATCAGAACTACACAATTCTAAAATCAAGAATAATAAATTTTAAAATAACATAATTAAAATTAATTTAGTTAATTCCTTACCAGCAATTTGACAATGTGCAGGATAATGTAAATCTGATAACAATGGTTCTGGTAAATCAGCCAAAAACCCTTTTAATACTGATGCACAATCATGTACACTATATCGACCATCATTAAGGTTTAATGGACTACCTTGGTATAGTGCAATTTTTAAATCTTGTTGTCTTGTTAATTTACCAGTACGTCGAAATATACCTTCTTGAATAATATCTTTAAATTTCATTTAGATATGAAAATAAAAAAAAATAATTATTTAAATTTTATAATATAAATTTTTATAATAAATAAATTTTTACTTACTTTGTTCTTTAGATAAATATTCTATTAACTGTTTCACTTGATTTATTCCATCTTCAGATAAACTAGCACCTTCAATTCCTTTTTGTAAATTAATTGTCGATTTAGGTTTTTTTGAAAAACTTAAGAGACCCCATTTTTTTAATTTCGTCTTTTCATTGATGCAGTCACTACTATAATATAATTAATTTTACAATTTATAAAATATATTTTATTTTGACAAACAACATACAACTTATAATATCAATGTTTAAATTCAAATTTAAATAATTTAAATAAATCATCTTACTCTTCGGTATTAAGGTCTAATTCAAAAGATAAATGCATTTTGACGAGAGTGTGAAATTGTTCTGGATTGACTTTTCGCATTCTAAA